TATATATATATATATATATATATATATATATATATATATATATGGAATGTAAGTCACCTAACAGTTATTTGGGTTGGAAATATATAAACTAGGATAGACATTTTAGTACTATGCCTTTAAGAGAATGCTAAACCTGTAATTGTGTGTGGTTTCTCAAACGGCCATAAGATGGAGCCAGAAACATGGGTTGTTTAGTCTTAGTAAGTCTCTATTTCTTCTGTTGGAGAGAGTTGCCGTTCATCCTATTGACAGTTATTGATCGTTGATGTAAGTCTGTTACTGAACTATTTTTTTATACTGGACTTTGATATTTGGATTATCCCTGAACTGAACACTGACTGCTTTACCTGTGAATGACTTGAACTGCTTATCTTGGACTTTGCTTAAACGTTTATTGGAAGTAAAAACCTACATTTACTGTACAGTGAATCTGTGTGCTGTTTGTGTGTTATTTTTCACTACTCTCACTACATCTACATATATATATATGTACCACAGATCAAATCCAAACAGAATTTCAGAGTAATCTAATGCATTGTACAAAATAAGGCTGCAACAACTTTTCAGACTGTGTAGCTGATGCTAGTCTACGCAGCAGCAAAGAAGCCTCTCATGCATGCCATGTGACCAATTCATAGTGAAACTATAGATAAATCAACTGGAGACTGATCAGATTTATTTCTAAACATAAAAATATAACTTGAATGGTATTGAATATTTCTAGTTAACAAACCTACATTAACTAATTTTTGAAACTTACTGGCGTAGTCAAAATAATGTGAGCATGCTGTATTTCAAATAAGTCATCCACTGCTGTATCTCCTGTTAGTTCCTTACAGATGAGTCCAATAGGTCCAAATTTTTCTTTCCAATCATCAAAGCGCTGACTGCAGAGAGCTTTTATTGGAGCCACTAAAAACAATACCAAGTATTGTGAGAGAACAAGACATCCACAAAACAACTTCAGTACAATATTTCCAATACTTTTCCATTCACCCCCCGCCCTCACAATTTCAAATTCCTTTGAATGTCCCAACTCCTTTTAGGGCTATACTCCAATGATTTTTCATATGCTATATGTCGTCAACTTCTTTCACTGAGCCTTAAGTAAATACTCTTTAAAGTTTTTAACTTTTCTCTAAAGGTTTTTTTTGAAGAGTAACCTTTTTGTTTTAGTTTAGAGAATAATTTTGTAATAAATCAACGTTTAAAGAGAGAAATTCTACATTCTTGGGGAGATTGGCTGTGCTGCTGTTATATCTTATGAATGCCTTTTTTGTTAACTTTGCCATATTTTCACTGTCAGTAGTAAAGGACAATTATTCTGATTACAGGACAGAAAGAAACATATTGAGAAGCACCAGGCGAGACCTTGCAGGTGCTGGATTCAAGTCCCTATTTGTGGTGCCACTAGAAAGTACAAAAAATATTTGCCAAATTTGGAGCTTCTGGGTTTATCTTCCTTACTAGTGAAACCAATAAAATAAATGATTTAATAGAAAAAAGGCAATGAAAGCAAAAGAAATCCCACTCTCTGAGCAGAACTATTTCTGCCTCTCTGGGCACTGCAGAAAGAGTACAGCCCAATCATTATATATCACTGCCTGCTTAAAACAAGAATCACCTTTCTCTGTGCAGGAAGAATTTCCAGTATAAAGTGACAGAAGCAAAGTTTAGACCAGAGAACTAAGCTTTGGAGGAAGATCTTCCTATATCTGCAACCTTACCCACTGAATCATGTCACAAAGGGGCATAGCTACTAACTACTGGCCTAAGAGGCCTTCCAAAGCAAGACTTATGAAAGGATAAATCAAAGCCACATTATGCACAACTATAAAACAAAAATAAATAAATAAATCATATTAAAATATATAAAGATAGTTTTGTTGCTGCCATAAGGTTACATGCAATAACCAAAGCAAGCAAAACCAAAAATGTTTCATGAGCAGTAATAATAATTTAAAAAGTAGTGTACTTACTATATACAATTTTAATATTTAACCAAGGTATTGGCACTTTGATTAATAATCTGGTAACTGCAAGCTCAAACATCACAGTTTTTCCAGAACCAGTTGGTGCGCAGATTACAAAGTTTCTGTCTGTGTAAAGGAGCTACAAAATAGTAACAAATAGTAAAATATAGCACAGCAACCAACAACATCCAATTTGACTTTTTAAAAAACCCACTTTTTCAAAAACGTGAGTGGCAAAGGAGCCTAAACCGCAATATGTTATTTTTTTCTTTGCATTTGCCACTGAACAATTGTGAAGAATATATGGTATTTGAAATGATTATGTGGCATGGTCTGAAACAGCATTGCTAACATAAAACCAGTTCTCAAGTCCCAGGAAGAAATAGTGCACATAGAAGAAAAAATTATGTACAATTTATTTATTTATTTAGTACATGACATACCAAACAAGAACTAGCAATATATGTATTAACATTTCACCTAGATTAGTAAAACACAATAAAACATAAATGTTAAAAAGATCTATGTTCAAGTATCAATGTCTAGATATCTAACCATTGAAGTGCAGCATCAATTATATTTTAAAAATCAGATACTGGACCGGTATATGCCCTCAGCTTATAACCGGTCACAATGTGATCTACAGTTTGACATGGAACCCTGCAGTCACACTGAGGGGAGGATATTATGCCCCTTCTACCAGTGATGGAATACAAATTTTTTTACTACCGGTTCTGTGGGCATGGCTTGGTGAGCGTGGTGTGGCTTGATGGGCATGGTAGGGGAAGGATACTGTAAAATCTCCATTCCCACCCCATTCCTGGGGAAAGGTTACTGCAAAATCCCCATTTCCTCCTCACCCCACTAACCTGCTTTCCAGCTCCGTTCTCCTATGCAGGACAATGAAAGAAGACCCAGCTGATCAGCTGGGACTCGAGAGGCAGAGAATAGATGGGGGAGGGGCCAATCAGAGATGATATTTGCCTGTTCTTCGAACTACTCAAAATTTCCACTACCAGTTCTTCAGAACTGGTCAGAATCTGCTGAACACCAGCTCTGCCTTCTACGGTATATAGAGAATGCTGGCTGATGCAGTGTAAGGTACAAATTCTACTCAGGATTGTCCATTGTTGACATGATAGTTCAAAGTCTGGCACCTTTTTTGTGCAGTCATTTATATGTCTACCTATGTCTGGGCATTTAGCGACCCATTTGGCTTTCCATTGGGAATCAATGTTGAAATTGTTGGGCAGATGTGCAAGTGCCAGTGGAGGTTTCCTGGATTTGAGTCTTTCAGCAGATAAATGTCTTTAATTTTTAATCTGTCTTTACAAATATACAATAAAAATTGTTAACCATATACATTCCTATCAATATAGGAGTTTGAAATATGTTATTGTCCTGTATAAATTGCTTAAGACATGATCTTATAATGTTTATCAAACAGTAAATCCCATTAAATTTAAAACTTCTTTTGATTGTAGCTTTGGGCAATTATGACATCTAAAGTGATTTTGGAAAATATATCTTATAAATTTGCTCATTGTGCTCTAAAAATATTTATTCCTTTGCGGTTGTAGCATGGGTCACAGCAAGAAAAAGAGATCTGTTGAGATTTTAGCATGCTGCTATAAATACTAGTGGAGATATATTTTGATAGAAGACAACAATGTGCAAATTTCTGGAGCATAATATAAGGTGATGCTGCATTTCTACCTAACTTCCTGGTCTTGAAGAAGGTGCTTAAGATCGTACTATCCTGCAGGGCATTTGGGTACTAAGGATGAAGGGTACTTCTGGGTATTTATTTATTTTGTTTTAGTTTTTGTTATGATTACTTCCCGAGAATGTAAGAATAGTTTAATATCAGTATAAAGTTTAAGTATAAAACTTACATCATCCAAAGCCTTCGACTGAATAAAATTAAAATAAGGGAACTCTTTGAAAATATTTCTAAATTGAGTGGCTTAAAACTTGTGTTAAGGAAACATTTTAGTGAAATATGGGTACAATTTTATCTAAACATAAGAATAAAACCTTCAAATTTTCCACATTTGTTGCATTTCATAAAATAGGTCTTAAAACAAAAGAGAAAATGCAAGACAAGACTGACAGAAGAAAGAAAACAGATGTCTTGGGGAAAATCTGTAGTAAATATTTATAAAATTACTGATTAAGTTATCAAACGTAAAGATTATTCATTTATATGGGTAAACTAATCCAGTGACCCTGCCATGCTAGTGGACCACATATAATAGTACTGTACCTCAATCTATGAATAACATAGAGATATTTATTATTAATCTTGTGGATTATGACCCTTGGTATAATGATGAGTTTGCTCAATTAGCTTTCCTGATATTACGCAGCCATATACAGGAATCCTTTAGCCACGTGATGAATTTTTGGATTTTAAAAAATGCTAATATTTACATCCAAGAAATGTTACATAGTTATAGCAATAAGTTATAAAAGGATACGGATTTCAGTCACAGGCCTCAAAACCACTGAGTCATTTTTAGATATTACTAGTAACAAAACAAAACAAATGTTGGATTTAATTTTCTTTCTTTCTTATTCACATACACATTATACTTGATTTTAGCCAATATTTATTTAAACAGCACAAATAAAAACATAATAGCTTAGATTCTGATCTAGTTGTACTTGGTTGTGCAATTAATCAACTGGGAGAGGGTAGACTAAATATTGATAATCTGTATAAATCTTGATATGTTTACAGCATGAAAAATGCAAATAATAGCTATCTTTTCTATTACAGCTTGCTATGTTAACAGACATGCTGAGGTCAAGCTGTAATCCCATTGGCAATGGTATAATGTCTTTAATTTTTAATGGAGGTAATTGATGTTGGTTGATGTGGTGGTTGAAGTTAGCCCCACCAGCGAAGTAAGTGGTAGAGGAAGCCAATGCTGGGAATAGCAACAAAGTGCTGAAGGAGAAAGTTACTTGTCAGCTGTTTCCTGGTATGATAAACAAGTATGTCCTTTATGGTTTTGGAGAAACTTTTAATATCCAATCCAGTTAGCTTTTGTACATGAACTGGAAAGGACTATCAAATGAAAACAAAGTAGATTGGACCAATTTTGCTTGTTTTCTAAAATTTTCAAACAGGTTATCTGATGAGATAAGTGTTTTGTATTTATTTGAAATCTGTAAATTATGATTCCATGCTTTATTCAGTATGACAAACATATTCACAAAATGTAGTTTACAAGAAGGTAACGCTTATAAAAAGCTTCTCTGAAGGCATAAATACAATATGTATTTATTGTATTTAAATAATTTCTAACCCTAACTTAAACTTTATAGTTGTTTCTGGGTGCTTCTATGATAGGTGCTTCCAAACAAAGCTTTTCTGATATAATCAAACCTTCATAATTTACAGGATTTTATAAGTAATCACCTGTGGTTTCACACTATTCCTTCCATACTTTCTTGTTATCAAGTAAACTTCTAAGACAAGACATATCTTTGAATTGGTAGCACTGTCTGTACCCCAAATCCCCACACAGTTGGAGGTTTTTTTTAAATGTCATACAAGTAGCCTTGGGTAAATGACAGCAACTGATACTGAAATCACATGAGAGCACAGGTTCTGGCACTTCAGATTGCTATCATTAAGTGAATCCTGTGCTATTACTAAGCATGTCAGGTGATTGCCATTTGCAACCTCCTGTCGGTTTCCCAATTGACTTTGCTTGCCAGAAAGGTCAAAATGGTGATCACATGATTAGAGGATGCTGCAATGTAATAACTGTGCATCTGTAAATATCACTCATTCAACATTGTAAGCTTGAATGTTGTTGTATGAGTGGTTATTAAACAAGGACTACTTGTACTTTAATATTTCTTCATTGCTATATAACTAGATTAAACTATAGGAATGGAAGAAAAAGAGAAAAGAAGATGTGAATGTACAAATAATCATCATCATTTTCTCTATTTGGTCTTAAAATTGAGGAATATTCAATTCTATGTGACTGGCATTTTCTTGTACCCTAATACAACTACTTCACTGTTATCTAGCTTATGTATACATTTTTGTGGTTCATTTTTTTCTAATTTATGTTTATCTAATGTATCCAATTTGTCCAATTTACCTCCTACATAATTAATGTAGCCCTAACCCTAACTTTTGCTTTACATAATTATAACAGATTAACCTGTATTTCTGAATCTGATTCTGTTCATGAACATACATTATTCATAGTTGTTTCATGAGAGCTGTAATTTAAGTACCTTTTGCAGGTAAAAGTGTAGAAAAAATATAATTTACCTTCCATACTAGAGATCTCTGAAATACATGGAAATGATGACGCCTTTTTAATTTCTTTTGTATTTGCAGAAGCAGAAAAAGTATTATTTATAGAAAGACAATTAAAATCTGAATTTTGGGCTATCTGCATATTATTTTTCCATAAGTCTTTTTTCATCTCTTTGTTGTTAATAATATTGCAATATGCATCCATTTCTATCCTTGCACTGGCATTATTTGCATATGTATAAGAAGCTGGTTTAAATAAGCTGTAAGGAATGCAAAGGATTTTTTTATAATATACATAAACACACATACCTTTTTATATGACAATTATATATTTTTGCTCTGTTGCATTGTTTCTAATAATTAATCTTAAAACCTTATAAACAACTTATATTACTTTGATTATTCAGCTGACTGGTCCATTACCAGTACAAGTAAGTATATGCTCTCGTTGAGAGGTATTACTCAGATGACCTCTCATATATCTGCTTTTTCAGCTCACCATAACTTCCATTTCTATTGAGCTTCTGAAAAATTATATAACTTGTATATTGCAAGAAGTAGTAATTTAAGGTTTTTGAAGAACTGAAGAAAACAGAAGGTAACAAAATATTTAATTCTAATTTATTCCTTTCTTGTTTTCATTTTATTTCATTGTTTATATCTGGATACTTAGTGAAGGAAAAACTCAATGGTTGCTATACATTAAAAAATATGCATTCCTCTTTGAACTGAGAATCAGGATTTATCAAGTTCACATTA